GAAAACATCAAGGCAAAGACAACAACAATAAACAAGTACAACTCGAAGTGTATTCTACTGATCACAAAGTAGGATACCACTCGACATGCTCATCAGAAAAGGATAGACATTCACACATAGACACTACATGCCACAGTGACACTTCATGTCAGAAGTTCCAACCTTATGGCTACCCCCGACCTTATTACAGTTCTAACCTTTACCTCCAAGAACCCCTGTACTTCTGAGTCCAACCTTATGCCTTCTGAGTTCCCCCTCCAACAACCGCCAAACAATACCGTTGAACGCTCAGTACACGAGGGTACAGTGCAATATCATATCACAAAACCGCCAAACATGTGAGCTAAACTCACGATAACAAACCACCAAACTTAATTCATGGCCACCACGAGGACCACATCTATACCTTGGTGATTAATGTCCCATACCATTAACCGTGGAATCAAGGTACAGCCAATACACACGTTTTCATCACAGGAATCAATCAATGGATCGTAACAAAGATATAAAGCCATACTCAATCAAGGAAGGATTACAATCCGACTCCAACGATGATCAACACAAGTTATCATCCACAAAAGGAAAGAACAAACCGCACATACTAGCATTTCAACATCAAACTAGCATGCTTATCAAATGGCTAAACCAAACATAGTTCAGAAGAACATACAAGACTCATCATGGTTCAATGAATCACAAGGTTGAACACTTAGCACGATTCAAGACACCAAATCCTACCTGTATTCCTAACATACCGTTCTAGACATACGAAACATCAAGAAGACACTTAAATAGCCCAATAAAACAACATCGGGAAGTCAAAACATCAATTACCGAGTCAAAAGAATCACGGGGAACAAATCCCCAAACAACACCAACATGTACCCCGCGGGTGGGGCCACTGGTGGACCTCCACCCGTGGTTCCACCCGCGGGTACCATTACCCACGAGTGGTGTACCCCGCGGGTGGGGCGGCGGGTAGGCCACTGCCCACCGTTCCGCCCGCGAGTACAACCCTGTACCAAAAATAATCCCTTCCGGGATTTTCAGCACCAAGTCCAAAACACCTAAAATCTCACAAAATACAACAATATGACTTGAATCCAAGAAATTACCAAGCAATAGCATACAAGAACCCCAATAACAAGCTCTAGATATGCATTCTCAATAGACAATGCATCATATCTCACATTTCATTGCAAAAATCACACGTAGAAGTCAAGAAATCATCATATAGGTACGAAAATAGATTTTTATAAAGCATGGGTTACCTCTTGTAGCCTAAACCTTCACATATCACACCCTTACAAGCTTCTCCTAACGCTCTCCTTCAACTTCAACTTCAAGAACACCCCAAAAGACAACAAGGATTCTATCTTTTAGAAAAGACACATAAAAGGTATTAAAAACACTGAGGGACCAAGGATCTTACCCTCCCTTATGCCCAAGCTTAAGAAATTTTGAATCTTGGAGACCAACATGAAGAATCTAGGATTGCCGAAAACTTGGCTTGAAGATGAAGCTAACAATTTTGTAGAGAGAAGGTGGAGCTTTTGTGTTTAGGGTGTTAGGGAAATGAAATGAAGGATGACTCTAGGTTAGCTTGGGACACAAACATAAGGTGAAAAGACTCCTTTGCCCTTATTAAGGTGGGAAGAGTAAGGGGACAAGGGAACAATTCATAAAGCATAGAGTACAACCCTTTGACTTGGATTGACTAGTCAATTCTAGTCCTCTGACTATTGAATTTTCAGGATTTTAGGAATAAATTACCAGTTAAGCTAGGATTAATTGTCCAATTAATCCTTAAATAGATTTTGGATTTACGAGGTGTCACAGTTATGACCTCAGCTCCCCTTCACATGTTTTATTGAACAAACCCACAAACGTTTACTCTCATGAAAGTTTCAAGGCCCTACCCAAATGTTTGAGCCAGTGATTGAGATTAACAATCGTGATCAACCACAATCAACAAGCCAACTGAAAGGAAAGGCTGTACAACGAATTGTGGAACCCCGAACTGGGAATTACTTGAAAGGCAATCCTAGGCATAACACTAATGTCAAAAGGAATGGACCAAAAGTTAATAGATCCAATCTATACCATCAAAAAGGTCAGCCTACAGGAAATAACCAAACAAGGGCTAAATCAAATGTTAATCAGAGGCAAAATCGTTCTAAGTACCCACGAAAGGATCCTCTACGAGGAAATCCGAAAAGAGAACGAAATAGACAAGCCAAGAGGTCACTTAGAAGACCAATGATAGGCAACGGATGGAGTGGACCATCCGAAGAGGATTGGCTTGTTTATCCCGAACCCTTTTCAAAAGCACAATTTGAGAAGATACATCGGCATAAACAAACCAATTATTCTAAGCAGTATCGCAATCCACCTGGTGACTATTTTCAAAGTCGATACAAAGCCAAAAACTTTGCCAAAATTTATTACGATTATCAAGTTTTTAATGAGTACAAAGGACCAAGGATTAGTCGTGTTAACTCTAGGTTCATATGGATCCCAAAATTGACCACTAACCCTCAAGGACCCGAAACTGAAGGGGTACCTAATGTCACATAACATTTGATATTAGGGAAAAAAGGTCATATGGTATATCGACAGTGGATGCTCAAGACATATGACCAGAGATAAATCAAACTTGAGCAACTATAAAGAAATTGACGGTCCAAAGATTATATTTGGAGGAGAATCAAGTGGAAAGACGAAAGGTGTTGGAGATATCATCAGAAATGGAATAACCATTAAAGGAGTCTCACATGTTGAAGGACTCAAGTTTAACCTACTAAATACAAGCCAATTCTATGATAAAGGCTACAAAGTAGAATTCTCCAAAGACAAATGCAAAGTCATCAGCACTGAAGATAGTAACATTGTGCTCACGGTAAAACGAAAGAAAAACATGTACGTAGTCGTTTGGTTTACCGAAAGCAAGCTATATTAAGGATAGAATTTGCGATGCATTTCAGAAAGGAAAGCAAATCAAGACATCTTTCAAGTTAAAAGCATCAGACATCGATTCTCGTCCTTTAAGTCTAATGCATATGGATCTATTTGGTCCAGTTGATCCTGCAAGTCTGAGTGGACGATAGTATTCCCTCATCGTTGTAGACGACCACTCAAGATATACCTGGACGCACTTTCTAAGAAAGAAGAATGAGACTGAGAAAGTCTTATCAGACTTGCTAAGGCAATTACAAACCGAAAAGGGTCTCAGCATAATAAGAATCAGGTTCGATCAGGGAACAGAATTTGTAAACAAAGTCATCAAAGAATTCTGTGGACAAAATGGAATCTTTCATCAACTTTCGGCCCCACGAACTCCTCAGCAGAATGGGGTAGCCGAAAGAAGAAATAGAACTTTGAATGGAACCGCCCGAACAATGATATCACATTCAGGACTTCCCAAACGTTTATGGGCTGAAGCCATTAATACCACATGCTACACTCAAAATCGATCCCTCATCAACAAAGCTCACAACAAAACCCCATATGAATTATGGAAAGGTAAGAAACCTCTTGTTAGTTATTTTCACATCTTTGGATGCAGGTGCTTTATTCACAACAACAGGAAGAATCATTTTAGAGCATTTGATGAAAGAGCGGATGAATATTCATTGGATATTCTTCAACTAGTAAAGCATTCAGGATTCTGAATAAAATGACCATGTTATCGAAGAATCTATTCATGTCAAGTTTGACGAAAATGTTCAAAAGGCTGCACAAGAAGACACATCAATCAAAAATCTAGGCATGCAAGCTGAACCAAGTCAAATAGAAGAAGAAGACTCGGATCATGAAGATGATTACATCAAATATCGAGGAGATAAATCTAACGAACCTGAAGTATAGGTTGAGACAGAAATCACAAATGAAGAAGGTTTATCTACCTCACAACCACAAACTGAACTTATGATATATGTTGAATGGCCATATATACACGAGATGAACACTCAAGATCAAACTACATCTTTCGAACCGGATCTACGGTGATTAAGAGATCACCCGGTAGACCGAGTAATTGGCAACATTCAGGAAGGAGTAAGGACTCGTGTTTTTCAAAAGTTGAAATTTTTAAGAATGATTTTGTTATTAGTATTATATTAATTTATTTTCACATTATTTGATATCGCATTCCGATCCTTTCAATGACTACAAGTTCTTTAATTCATGTTTTTTATTATCCGGTGGTTCCAATAATGTGTTTTACCTCTTTTAAAATGCGTTTGTATATATTTCACAATTGTGAAATTATATTGTGTAGGCCGGTTATGAATGGTCCGTATGATCCTAGATACAAGGATTTTAGCTTACCCATTGATCCTTACCTCAGAGCCTTGGTATTAAATCGAAGTTTTTTAAGTGGTAATAATTTTATTTGTATATTTTAAAATTAACTTGATGTAGGGGTAAAAAGGCTCAAACAGGTAGTAGAAGTGGGCCCAAAACATAAAAGTAGTAGAGAGTCAGATTGAAGAAGTAGAGAATCGACAATAATGCGACGGCCGCACGGGAAGAGCCCGCTGCCCTAATCAAGATTCTATATATATATATATATATATATATATATATATATATATATATATATATATATATATATATATATATATATATAAAGGAAATTCTAGAAGAGGAAAGAAAAACTTGTATATTTAAAATTGAGAATTGATTTGCCTTGATTTCTTTAGCATACTACACCAGCTATTGCAATAGATGAACAAATTCCATACAAATTAGCCAATAATGAATTACAATAGTCATACACATTAAAACAATTTTCATAATCTACTAGTTTTGCTCAAATCATCCGTTAACTACTTCATACATACATACTTCATCAACTAATACAATAATTATAACATTCAAGCTGTAGCACTAAGAAACGAGGGCTGATGGAAGCTCTCTCCTTCCTCGTTAAACACCATGACGGCTACTAGCTTCAAGCTCAACACGGACGGGGGGTGCAAATTAAAGCTAACACGAGCATGGCCAGTGCGGGCGGTTTGGTTCGTGATCACAACGGCTCGTGGGACGTGGGTTTCATCACAAAGATCGAGATAACTAGCAGTTTTATAAATGGCGGAACTCTGGGGATTGAGGGATGGGCACTTGCTTTAAGAATCATTATCGAAACAGACTCTGAATCAACGGTCAATGCGGTGAAGAGTGAAGGCGGTGCCAGACCTGAAGCTGGGACCCTTATTCAGGACAGCAAAAATATTCGGGAACAAATTAAGGATTGGGATTTCATCCATACCCTCATTGAAGGCAATCAGTGTGCTGATTTTCTGGTCAACTTGGCGAAAAACAGTGACTGGGGTACGTATAGTACTCAGATTGGAACGTGATGGGAGAGGGGTTGCCACAAGACGCATTTTTAATTTTTAAGGACTTCGGTCCCTCTGTTACACCTAACGAAGTGAAGAATCAAGGGAAATGAAATTTGAGAAATGATACAGAGCAATTAGGGTAATAAACAACAAAAATTAACTAATTAATTGAGAGGCCTATTTGAATTATTTTTTACTCATTCTACATTTTAATATATTTATTTTCTATATTATTACAAACACACAAACCACAAATAGATTTAAATTACCTTGGTGTAGGGGTAAAAGGCTCAAACAGATAGTAAAAGTGGGCTCAAAACACAAAAGTAGTAGAGAATAGGCGATGAAAAATTTAAGTAGTGTTGAGTCAACGATTGATTAGATTTTAATTTTTCCTTAAGATTTCCTAATTCATCCTTAATTAATATGATTATCCATTAACTTTTCCTTTAAATACTATCTTTTTTGTTAATTTCTGTTAGTTCACCGGTAACTTACTCATTGATTTCAATAAGAAAGGTTTTAGGTTCGAACCTCATCCCAATCAAAGTTGTCATAAGTAGCACTCTATTTTACTCTTATTCAATTAAACAATAATTCAGTAGCTACAACAAAAAAATAATACATATGCATTTCTTTAATTTAGAATTATGTGTCTACAATGTCTTTAATAAAAAAAAATTATTCATTATCAATAATTAAATAAGAGAAATAATTTCATTAGTTATATTGTCTTTATTTCTATCCAATTTAAAAAATTTTTGCATTCAAATTCATCAATTGATTATATTCGCTACATTGTCCCTAAAATGTCTTTAATTTAAAAAAAAAAAAATTATTCGTTATCAATAAATTCATTAAGAGAAATAATTTTATTACTTATATTGTCTTTATATTTATCCAATGTAAAAATTCTTTCCATTCAAAATAATGCAACATAATGCCATATATTTATTTACCAAGTATTTTATTAATACCATGAAAAAATTAAAAAAATATATATATATAATTAATAAAGTCAATCATATTAACTATTTGAGGGATTTGTTGACAAATAGAGTATTCAAATCACACAACAAATTGAAGTGAGATCTACCCTGCAATGTCCTTGCTTGACAATCAGCAGTTAGCGGTTAGCGTTAGAGGATTATATTAGCGGATTTGACCAGCGAATTGTATCAACGGTTGATAAAAAGATATTTGAAAAAATTAGCTGTTTAGATTAACATGTAAAAATGACCTAACTGTATACATAATAATAATAATAATAATAATAATAATAATAATAATAATAATAATAATAATAATAATAATAATAATAATAATAATAATAATTGTTTTTAAAAATAAAGAATAAAAAAATATAATTAAGCCCACGGTTGCTGGAAACGGTCCACAGCTCACACCCAGGAAGCTCTCTCCTTCCTCGTTAAACACCATGACGGCATGATAACTAAACAAAGATGGATTAATTGTATTATTTTATTCACTTAAGGGGGCCGAGTTGACTATTTTTCTTTGGAAAAAAAAAATCAAATGCCATGTGAACTAATAATTGCACATATTTTTTACTCCACAGTCCATATAAACTGCGAACCAGGGTGGCATTTAATAATAAAATATTTAAACCCCACATAAATTGCACACCTTTTGCATACCACAATTTACATAAACTGTACCCATTTTATACTCCACAAATTGTCAAATCAATCTTTTGTCTAAAAATAATGAACACACCTTAATGGCATACTTAATATAACGTCATACATACCACAATAGTACAAATTGCCATCATATCACTCCATTCCATAATATTAAATCAGATATCCAAACATAGAAAATAGGATAAGCTAGCGAATTTACACTCTACAAGCCGCAGTCGTGGTAATCGTGGGAGAAGATTCTCTCAAATACACGTTGGCTCATCCTCACTCTTTGGGGTATGTCAAGCAAATAAACATGATAAGAAACTGTTTTTTTTTTATTTAATTTAAACTATTTTTGCACTAAGCAGTATCCATACAAGTAGCTTACACTGTTTTATTATATCTTTCAAAAAAAAAATTGGCTGAACCTAATGCTAAGAGCATCCTCAATAGTGAAGTTTTTGAATCTGTTTTTTTATGTGCCCAAGTAGGAGAGAGGATGAGTTAGGGAAAAGATAATTAATTGAATAACAGAATTACAGATACATTAATACTCTTAGAGAGAGAGAGAGCTATCCTCTAGGCTAAAGACTAGACAACTAACAGATTGTTACAAGACTAAGTAATAACATAATAATAAATAACATACTAATAACTTAGTCTAATACTCCCCCTCAAGCACAAGGTAGGTGAGGAACCACATTGAGCTTGCCACGCAGAGTAGCAAACCGTGCTGCTGGAAGTAGTTTGGTGAAGATGTCTGCAAGCTGATCTTTGGTAGACACAAAATGAACCTGAAGCTCGCCAGCCGAAACCTTATCCCAAAAAAAGTGATAGTCAACCTCGACGTGTTTGGTGCGAGCATGGAACACTGGATTAACACACAGGTAGGTCGCTCCTAGATTATCACACCATAGCGTGGGAGTTGAAATAGGCCCCAAGCCAAGATCTCGTAACAAGGACACAACCCATGTAACTTCAGCACAGGCATCGGCAAGGCCCTTATATTCTGCCTCAGTCGAAGAGCGTGCAACGGTGCGCTGTTTCCGAGAGACCTATGACACAAGATTTTTACCAAAGAATACTGCATACCCACTAGTAGACTTGCGGTCAACAAGGCAGCCAGCCCAATCTGAATCGGAGTAAGCATGGATGTCCGAATTCGCTGAAGCTGCAATGCGTAGACCATATTCCAGGGTTCCTTTAATATAACGAAGTACTCGCTTGAGCAACCCCCAGTGCTCGTCAATGGGTGAGTGCATGAACTGACAGAGGCGGTTGACAGAGTAAGAAAGATCCAGCCTAGTAATGGTGAGATACTGTAGGGCCCCACGGTAATGCGTCAGATTATCAAAAGAGTCAGTGGCCTGACACACAGGCTGAGTCACGGAAGCAGGAGTGGCCAGCGCCTTGCAATCTGTCATGCCGGCTCGCTGTAGAATGTCCCGCATATAACGTCGCTGTGAAAGCATCATACCGCCCGAGATAGGTATGGTCTCTATGCCGAGAAAGAATGTAGGTTGCCCTAGATCTCGTATCTTGAAGGCCGTCGCCAGTTGCCCTAACACGGAGTCAACTAAGGTTGTGTCGCTCCCAAGCATGATGATGTCGTCCACGTATACAAGTAGGAAGACTTGAGCACCAGCAGCAGAGTAGTGAAACAGAGAAACATCTGTTTTGGAAGCAACAAACCCTGTCAGAATTAAAAAATCATGCAAGCGTTTGAACCAGGCGCGGGGAGCCTGTTTCAACCCATACAGGGAACGCTGTAAGTGACAGACATGATCGGGATGATCGGGATCCTCATAGCCCGGTGGCTGCCGCATGTAGACCGTCTCAGCCAAATGCCCATTTAGGAAGGCATTGTGAACATCCAATTGTCTAAGTGTCCATCCTTGAGAAATTGCCAAAGCGAGCAGCAACCGAACCGTAGTTGGTTTAACTACTGGGCTGAACGTCTCAAAGAAGTCCTCGCCGGCTTCTTGGTTGTAGCCTTTGGCGACTAGACGGGCCTTGTATCGCTCCACCGTGCCATCAGCTTTTCGCTTGGTGCGAAAAACCCATTTACACCCTACGACATTCATCCCCGGAGTGGCGGGAACAAGCGTCCACGTGTTGTTATGTAGTAACGCGTTGAACTCTTGGTCCATTGCGTCTCGCCATTGTGGATGGCCCACCGCCTGAGAGTAGCAAGATGGATCATCCGTGGATGCGGTTAGAGCATGAAACGGCTCCCCAGTCCCTTGTGTCCTTCGTCTGAGTCTCATAACATGAGCCCGTTCCTGAGGTCAGGCACGCCGAGCCCGTCTTCTGACCATGGGTGGTTCAGCTGGAGCCGGTGCTGGACCTACAGCAGGACAATGAGTAGTGACCAAAGTTTCATTAGTAGTGTTGTGATGCAAAATGGGACTAGACCCCCATGGTAAGCTGGGTGTGTTCTTACATAGCCCAGACTTCACGGGGCTCTTGGTTGCAAAAGGGAAATGACTTTCATCGAAGCGGACATGGCGACAGATGTAAGTTTTCCCGGTGTTTAGATCCATGCAGCGATAACCCCTAAAGGATGGTGGGTAACCTAAGAAGACACACGGACTGGACCGATACTCGATTTTATGACGATTGTATGGACGCAGGTATGGGAAACAAAGACACCCGAATACACGTAGATACGTGTAAGTGGGTGGAGATTGATGTAAACGGTAATAGGGTGTATCAAACTGGAGTGAGGATGACGGTAACCGATTTATTAAATAAGTTGCAGTTTCAAAAGCGTGATCCCAGTATTTTTGTGGAACAGAGGCTTGTGCCATCATGGCGAGCCCGGTCTCGACAATATGCCGATGCCGGCGTTCGACACGACCGTTTTGTTCATGTGTATAGGCACATGATTGTCTGTGTACAATTCCTAAGGAGGTGAATAGTTTGTGTAATTTTTGATATTCTCCCCCAAAATCAGACTGGATGGACTTGATAGAATGTGAAAACGTACGTTCTACCGTCGCCCGAAAAACATCGAAAATTTTATATATATCGGTTTTGAGTCGTAGCGGATAATACCAACAATAACGGGTATTATCATCTATGAAGAGTACAAAGTAACGAGAGCCATCCGCAGAAAGAACAGGTGCGGGACCCCAAATATCGGTATAGATAAGATCTAAAATATTATTGCTAGATTTATCTACCCTATCTAACGGGAATCGAGAGGATTTCCCGAGTTGACAAGAAGGACATAAACTAAGAGATACATTTTTATTTGAATTAACCGGGCATTCCCGTAAGACACGTTTTAGCGCTTGTTCGTGAGGATGACCGAGACGCTGGTGCCATACTACGGATGAAGCACGGGCCGAAACAAACGCATGATAAGAATGTGGAACTGACAGTGAGTACAATCCCCCTGAGCTCGGCCCTTTAAGAAGAACCGCCTGTGTGATGGAATCCTTCACAATAAAAAAATCAGGATGAAATTCAAAGTAACAATTATTATCTTTTGTAAATCGATTTACAGATAATAAAGAAACTGACAACTCGGGGACATGTAAAACACTAGATAATTTTAATGGCTTAATGACCGACGGAATTACTGCATGACCCACACTCGAGATTTTCAAACCTGTGCCATTACCCACTCTCAGAACATCATCTCCGTGATATTCGTCGGCTTGCGAGACCACACCGGAATCCGGCGTAGCGTGTGTGGATGCACCCGTGTCCGGCAGCCAAGACGTGACTGCCGAAGCCAAGCCGCCACTGCCAGCATCTCCGGCGACTGCAACATGCGCCGATGGCGGTGGCTCGGAGTACCGCCTGTAGCAAAAAGCCGCCGAGTGGCCCTGCTTGTCGCAAATCTGGCAACGCAGGCCACCGTTTCGGCCACGACCACCGCGACCACCTCGCTGGTTGCCGCGATTCTGTCCGCCACGACTCTGGGAGCGGCCTCCAGTTCCGTGATGCCGGCCTCCTCTGCCGGCATATAATGCCGTCGACGACGCAGGAGCATAAGCTGGAGAATCATCCGCGTGGATGAACTATTGTGCCTGCAAATAATCTGCTAATTGCGGAATTGTCACTGGTGTACATGTGACTGCCACGGAGGCTGCCATAGACCGGAATTCCGGTCTCAACTCCTTAAAAACATATAAATTTTGCTCCGTTAGCGTGAGTGGTCGCCCAGCAAGTGCGAGATCCTCCACCAAATGCTGAGCACGACCGAGATACTCTGGGGTTGAGCTATCTCCTTGACGCAACGCTTGGAACTGCCCCATGAGATTGAGGCAACGAACTTGCGACGAGGAACCGAGGGCCGTCTCGGCCGCAAGCCATACCGACCGGGAGGTCGTCTGTCCGAGAGTGAGGTACATCACTTCCTCCGAGATGGATGATATGAGCAAGGATAGGATGGAGGCATCCTGCTCAATCCATGCTTCGTGTTCCGGATTCGGGACCACGGACGCCGCGCCGGCTTGATCGCCGGTCGAGAGCTCGAGGACGGGAGAGGGACATGGCCGGGAGCCGTCGATGAAGCCCAGCAATCTCTGCCCGCGTAGAAACGGAATTATTTGTGTCCTCCAGTAAAGAGAGTTCCGATGTGTCTACTTTAACGACACAAAGTGATGCGCACTAGGGAGGGAGTTTGGGTGAGTGTTTGGGGAGGAGAAGGTGGCGATTGTGTGCGTTCTTTCGGAGCTAGACGACATTGTCGATCGGAAAGGGGAGGAGAGAGAATAATCGGTAGACTTCTACTGGCTAACTGATACCAGATGAGTTAGGGAAAAGATAATTAATTGAATAACAGAATTACAGATACATTAATACTCTCAGAGAGAGAGAGAGAGAGCTATCCTCTAGGCTAAAGACTAGACAACTAACAGAATGTTACAAGACTAAGTAATAACATAATAATAAATAACATAATAATAACTTAGTCTAATAGAGAGAAGATGGAAAGAGAAGAAAGAAAAAAGATTAAAAATTAAATAAAAAGGGTGTCTGTATGATCCTAGATACAGGGATTTTGGCTTACCAATTGATCCTTACCTCAGAGCCTTAGTTGGTATTAAATCCAAGTTTTTTAAGTGGTAATAATTTTATTTGTATATTTGAAAATTACATTGATGTAGGGGTAAAAGGCTCAAACAGGTAGTAGAGAATCGGCAATAATGAGACGGCCGCACGATCATCGCACGGGGGGAGCCCGCTACCCTATTCCAGATTCTATCCTGCCTAATCAGCTTTCTTATCCTGCCGTGCAAGAACTCCAATTCCAGAGATTGTTAGAAAGTTTAATTTTTAAGCACCTACAGTAACCAATTGAGAGGAGAGATTCCGAGGGTGGAAGCCAGACGGCGGAGACGCAGAGGACTGTGGACAAGAGACGATAGAGTCTCGGCTTGAATCGAGAGAGACGACGGTTGAGGAAGATGAAACATTAGGAATGAGTAGATTTAGGGTTTGGGTTTGATATTTATGCCTCGGTCAGATGGGCTGATTATAGTTGGGCCATGGGTTTGGGTTGTCTTTAACTGCGCCTAAATGGGCATTATATATATATATATATATATATATATATATATATATATATATATATATATATATATATATATATATATATATATATATATATATATATATATATATATATATATATATATTAGATTATGTTGCTTTATATTATTTTTGTATTTTATTTAATAAAATTAGAGGTATTTATATTTAGAGTTTTTACAAATGTAATTATACTTATACATTGATTTTTTTTTAGATGGAACACCTATGATATTAGATGTTTTTGATAGTCCAATAGACATGGCAATTGAGAATATTGTTAAATGATATTGTAGTTTCGTTTAACTAATAATATATCTTATTAACAATTATTGGATAAACAATTAAAATTTTCATACTAGCAATGAATAGTAAACATGACTGAAAAATGATAGAGATGAAGTAAATAATTTGTCTTTTTATTTATACATCCATTATAATAATTAATCTTACAAATCTTAAATATAAAATAAAATCAACATATCTTAAAAGTTTTTTAACTTAATAATTGTTATTATCCTAACATAATAATAACACTTATAATTTTTAGCATTTGCATCACATGGGGCATGAACATTAATACTTTTCTAATTTTGAAATTTCATGTTTGAAAATTTATAACATCATTTATATTTTTTTACGAAAAAATAAAGAATCATGTATTTATTGTATATAGTTTAATTTACTAATTTAAAATTATGTTAATATATATATATATATATATATATATATATATATATATATATATATATATATATATATATATATATAACGTCTTCCCATGCGGTCGGTGTGGCATACACCATTAGGTATGTATAAATGCACCACAAAGTTTTCGTAAATACACTATATGTGTGGTGTTTTTTTTTTTGCGTGGTGCATTTTTTGCCATTTCATTCTGGTGTATTTTCGAACACTGTATGATGCATTTATGCATACCTAATGTTGCATGCCGCACTGACTGCACGGGAAGACATATATATATATATATATATATATATATATATATATATATATATATATATATATATATATATATATATATATATATATATATATATATGAAACAGTTCAAATGCGGCGGGGTCTTCCTATGCGGCGGTTGCAGAATTACAGAATACACCAACAGTGTTAACAATATGCACCAACAATGTAAGGAAAACACCAGACAATGAAATGCAATAAAACTTCAAAAAATACACAACAGACCCAAAAAAATACACCATATAACTAACCACCCAAATGGTGTATTTCCGAACAGTGTATGGTGTTTTCACTCACACATAATGGTGTGTTTTTGGTGATGTGCACCTAATTTTCCTCTGTTTTTTGTGGTGTATTTTTCTAACGTTGATGGTGTATATTCGTTGAACTATTTATGATGCTGCACCGACGCACCGTAAGACACCGTCGCACCTGAACTCGCCTATATATATATATATATATATATATATATATATATATATATATATATATATATATATATATGTATATGTATATATATATGTATATGTAAAATTTTAAAATATCATGTGATATCTAATAACACAATACTTTATAATATATGCTAATAGTATTTTTTGATGTTTCAATATAACAACCA